TATTCCACCTTCCCTATTTCATCCTTGGAATCTCCTCCTCTAGGAGGAGGTCACTCTTCTCTTTCTTTGAAGACATCAGCACTTGGCTCCGTCTTTACCTCTGCCCCAAGCCCTGATGCTGGTCCTGAAAGTCTGGGAGACCCAGGTGGGCAGCCCACCTAGCACCCTGACCTCCTTATCCCCACTCACCATCACCTCCGTCTCCCTGCAGAACCCACCCACCTCTCACTCTCAGTTGGCCTTGTCATCACCCATGGGTGCCCCTCCCCTAGACTTTTCAACTCAGACATCCAGTTTGGGACCACAGTGTCCTCAGTGATCCTCCACCACATCTCCTTCTATCTCCCTGAGTCCTCTAGACCAGCTCTGTCTGATAGGACTTGCTGTGATGATGGGAATGTTCTTTATTGGTGCTGGGCTTGAAATCTAATTCTTATTCAATTCGATTGAAAGCGCTTCATGTGGTTATTGGCTACTGTACTGAACAGCTCTAGACCCCTGGCCTCTCTATTTCCTCTTCCATCTGTGTTCTGTCTTCCCTTCCTTCTCTTTTCAGCTTTGCATTCATGGTCCACCGTGTCAGCCACCCTCTTCCCCTTGTCCTGTCCTATGTCCTGGAAAAAACCCTTCCACTCTAGATACTCCACCCATTCCTCTTTCTCCAGGTCTGCACAGGGGCTGCTGAGCACGGCTGGGAGGTGGGGAGGGGGGTATCCGGTGACTTTGCTGGTTGGCATTCTTTCTCACAGATGGTCCCTAACCTGATCAGAACCTTGAGTTCTGTCCGGCAGGCATTCTCCTCTTCTCCAAAATGACCCAGTCAAGCTCCTCACCTATCTTCACGCCTCCCATGCCCCAACCGACTCCTTCACTCTCAGCAGATGGTGTCACTTCCTACTCCATTAAAACAAGAGCAGCCTTCAGACCGTCTGCCCACCAGTTTTACAAGACTAGGCTTATCTGTCTTCAACCTCCTCTCTCCTTTTGCTCTTTCCTATTAACATTTAGGCATGTTCAAATAGCCTTATCTTATCAACAACAATAAACATCGCAACTCCCTCAATCCCATGTCACCTTCCTATCACCTTCTCTCTTTCCTACCACTTCTTTTCACACTTCGTGAAAGTTGTCTACACTCACTATCTCCACTTTCACACTTACCATTCACTCCATAACCTGAGGCAGTCTGGCTTCTGTCCCTACCACTCCTCTGTCACAGCTAGTCAAGGTCACCATGACTTCCTTGTAGTTTAATCCAAAGGTCTCATTTCTTTTTATCTTGACCTTGAAGGCATGTGACACTCACTGTTCACCCCTACTTCCTTGATACTTGCCCATTGGTTTCTAGGACATCTGAGTTTCCTGGTTTCCCTCCTCCTACTCTGAGTACTTCTAAATTTTCTTCAAACTGCCACATTCCCCTCTTCCTAGAGTGATCCTCAGGCTTCCCAGGTAAGGGTGGGCTCCAAGAATGGTGGTTTCCCTTCCTGACGCATTTCTTGTGGAGACACCTGGGAATTTGCTTTCTCACCTAAGAGCCACATAGTTGTGTTTTGAACGCCAGTTTGTACTGTGGATCCTGCTGCTCAGGGCCTGACACGCATTTTTGGGTTTATATTTATAACCCCCACTTTGAGATACTCTCACAACACTTGGACATCTGTTTTTTTCATTCATCCCCCTCAAAAGGCAGCATGTTTTAGGAAGGGACACTGACAAATTACAGGGCATTGGGAGAGGCAACACAGTGGTCAGAAAACAGTGTCTGCTGAGATGTCATTAAAAGAACTGGGAACGTTTTGCCTAGAAGAGATAAAAACTGAGGGATGACAGAAGGGCTGATTTCAAACATTTAACTAGGCAGAGCCATGGTCTGGGCTGTTGTGTGGGGACTCGACTTGGACCAACTGTACAAGTGACATTTTTCTGGACCTGCCGGATACAAGGTGAAAGTCCTGCCCTTCAGGAACTACTAATGAAGATAAGCTTAGACCTAATTGACCACAACAAAAGTAGAGGGTGCCCCCAGTCCCCAAGATCACTGGCCTAAGCTCAGCTGGCATTGTAGAATAGCGGCACTCCAGGAAGTGCAATTTCAAACTTGCTGCTATGCAAGATCCATCAGAATGGGACAGAAGCAACATAGCAGGAGGAAGCCTTGGAGAGCATTGGGCAAGCCAGTGCTGTAAATACCCCGAAACAGACCCAAGTGGGGTGGGTGGGCAGTGAGCTGGGCACCGACTGGCCTCTTTGAGACCCGTCCTTGTTAGACTGTCTTTTCTGGCTTGTGTTTTGGTGCGATGCCATCAGCTTACACTGGGCCATCACAGACACTGCCCACGGAGTTTCCAGTTGTGACTGTTAGCGGATATTGTTGAGGATGTTTGCTCATTATCTCACACTGTGTTCCTTTTATGAGGCCCCCCAGGAGAAATTCCTGTCTGATTTTAGTACCAAGAATAGTTGTAATTCCCTTGAGTAATAGGTCTGTTTTTATCTCATGGACACTGGGAATTGTGTAACTGACACGGTCTCCTTTTCATTTTGGCTGCAAGAAAGCTTAGGGACAAATTTGTGGCCCACCCACAGGAGGTGAATAGGGCATTCCAGGGTACATGTTAGTTTTATTTGTATCTCTACTTTGTCTTCCTTTCTGGTTTTTCTTCTCTTAGCTCTCATTCTTGCTATACAAAATCAAGAACATAGAAGCAAAGATAAAGGTCACCTATAATCTCACTATCCAGAGGTAACCAGAATTAACAATATTGTCTTTTTATGCAGACTCTAAAAAAACCCCAAAATGATAACATATTGTACACAGTATTTTTTGGGGTGGCATAGTGTTTTGTAATTTGCTTTTTTCATTTTCTAACATCACAGGCATTTTACTGTGTCATTAAATGTTCTTCTTTAAATAATTCTAAATTTCTTTAAAGATCTAGCAATTTAATATTAGCAACTAACATTTCTCCATCCACTTACTATGTGCCTGGCTTTATGTATGTACATATACATATATGTGAAAGTATATTCATATAGGCTATATAAGAACATATCTATGTATACATGTTATGCACTATAATATTCATGTGTTAACTGATTTGATGTTCTCAACCCTATGAGGTAGATATTGCTGTCCTGTCCCCCTTTTACAAGTGAGGAACTCACTGGCTGTAAAGCATGTGCTCCTAACTGCTCTGTGCCTTGCAGCATATAATTGGGATTTCACAGCCCACAAGGGTTAAACATTTCATTTATCTCCTTGCACCTCACTTTCTTATTTATGTCATTTCTGCCATGTTTTAGGTACCTTTATAAGTGACCTGAAATCCTTTCTGCCAGGAGGCAAGGTAGAAATAAACATTGTAGAGAGCAGTGAAGGGAATAAAATGGCAAAGCTAAAGTGTTACCCCAGGCGGGAGGATGAATCTAGCTTGTCCTGCAATGAAATTTCATTGGGTTGTGGTGAACTCCCATCTCTGAAAGAGCTGGCTCAGGTGGCCATCTCTCCGAGAGGCTGGGGAAGGCCGTGTTCCACGGAGACTGAGCTGGGCCAGAGAAGCCCTGAGACCCCTTCCTAGGTAGGTTCTTAGAATCTGTGAAAACTCCAATTGATAAAATGAGGCATTTAGTGGATAAACTGCAGCAAGTCAGCTTTTGGGCTAGAACCAGGGCCCTGGGCTTTCAATCCAGGTCTATCAGTAGGTCACTCGTCTAAGAATAACAAACCAGCAGCAGTTCAGTTCCAAACTCAAAGCCCAGTGTATTCTTTCCCCAAAGTTTTTGCTGCTGCAAGATGGTCAAAGGATGCCGTCAACTGTCTTTAGCCCTTTTGTTAAAGTGGCAGAGCATGAGGCAAGAAGAAGCTGGCGTGGCCCCTGAGGATGCCCCATGAGACTATGATTAGGTGGGATTATCCATTTGACAAATGTGAGGAAAGGAAAGAGTCCAGGTTTCTACTGTATTTGATGTTTACTGGCTTAGGGCTTTTGGGCAAATTTCTTCAACGGTTTCCTCATCTGCAAAATGGAGCGAAGACCTACTCAAACCTGTTGTGGGGCTTCCACGAGATATGACAGGGCCTACACCCTTGAAAACCTGAGCCTGGAAGTACCTATAAGCCCGCCTCAGGGGGTCTGCGGAGGTCCAGCAGAATCATCTGGGAGGGGCGTCGGCGGCTGCTCAGGTGCAGTCTGGCTATGCTCCGCTTCAGCCTCCAGCCCACCACAGCTCCCACCGCAGGAAAGGAGCCGCGACTGATAGGCCCAAGTGACACCTGGAGGCGTGTGTGTGTGTGTGTGTGTGTGTGTGTGTGTGTGTGTGTGTATGTGATAGTGAGATAGCACCCCTTCTCCCCAGGCTCCTCCTGCACACGATCCGGGGCTGTCTGCCTACAGGGGCACGGCCCTGTACGCGGTGCCACTGGGGCCATCAGGCTAGGTTAGAGGGAGGCCCCACCTCCTCGCAGCAAAGAAAACAAACACAGATGTGTTTGGCTGGGAGCAGGAGGGAGAAAACCGCCCCCTCCCCCCGCCTGCGCCCCCCCCACTACGGCGTGGGGCCGGCGGAAACCTGCGGGGCTCTCCCGGCGGCGCGGGGCCGGGGCTAGGCTGACAGTCCCCGCGGGCCCCTCCTCCCTCCCGGGGTGCGCGCCGGGCCCAGCCCCCTCTCCGGGGTTTCCCCGGGCGCTCTTCTCGCTTTCTCTTTGTCTCTGCTTCTCTTTCTCGGGCTCCCCGGTGCTCACCCGCTCGCGCTGTCGTCCTGCCCGCGTCCCCGGCTGGTTCCCTTTAACTTTCTTCTTTCCCGGGGTTAAAACTTTGCTCGCGAGCGGGCGGCTGCTCGCAGACATTATTGGCCGGCGCCCCGCCCGGCGGCCCCGCCCCCGAGCGCCCCTCCGCCCCCCACTCCGAGCGCGAGTGGCTGCGGCGGCGGCGGCGCCTTCGGGGGCGTGCGTGCGTGTGTGTGAGTGCGCGCCAGCGAGCGTGAGTGTGTGTGCGCCCCGGGCGCGGGCTGGGCAGCACTCCGACCGCGGCGGGAGCCGGGCGGCCGTGTCGTCAGTCGGGCGAGCGAGGCGGCGGCGGCAGCCGGGCCGGGGCCGGGACCGGGGCTGGGGCAGCGGCGGCCGCGCGGGGCATGGAGCAGGCAAGCCCGCGCTGAGGCAGGACGCGCCTGCTAGCCGCGAGCGAGAGGCTCTCCGTCGTCCGGCGCGCGGGCTCCCCGACCCGGGCCAGGCAAACTTTTCTTTCTTTTTTGCCCTCCCCAGAGGTAAAGTCCCGAACGTGGACTCTCCGGCGGGGACGCGATCTGGGGCAGCGGAGAGGGACCCCAGGCTGCGGGAGGAAGTGGCGAGGGCTGTGCGGGCTTGGGGGGCCCCGCGCTGTCTTGTGCCCGAGACTTTGGGGTGCGAGGCGGGCTGGCCACGGACGGCAGACGGGCGGGGACATGCCCCTTGGGCGGCGTGGAGGCGGCGGCGTGGAAGCCGAGCGTTCGCCTGCGGCCCCCCGGCTCCTCGCCCCGCCGGGGAGAGGAGGCACGGGCTGTGCGGGTCCCGGGACTCCCCTGCCCGCGAGGCTGTGGGGAGCGAGCGAGCCTCCGGCCGCGGGATCGGGACCGGGGAAGCCGGCGTTCGACCGCGCCCCCTGCACGCCGCCGCGCCGAGGGGTGGAGGGCGCGGGGCGGGCTGGTTGAGCGCAGCTCCCCTCTCTCCGCAGGCGCCTTCTTCGGCGGGCGGACCGACTCCTCGGCGCGGCGGGGCCGGGGCAAGCTGGACGCAGCATGATGCGCGCAGTGTGGGAGGCGCTGGTGGCGCTGGCAGCGGTGGCGTGCCTGGTGAGCGCGGTGCGCGGCGGGCCCGGGCTCAGCATGTTCTCGGGCCAGGCGGCGCAGCCCGACCCCTGCTCCGACGAGAACGGCCACCCTCGCCGCTGCATCCCCGACTTTGTCAACGCGGCCTTCGGCAAGGACGTGCGCGTGTCCAGCACCTGCGGCCGGCCCCCGGCGCGCTACTGCGTGGTGAGCGAGCGCGGCGAGGAGAGGCTGCGCTCTTGCCACCTCTGCAACGCTTCGGACCCCAAGAAGGCGCACCCGCCCGCCTTCCTCACGGATCTCAACAACCCGCACAACCTGACGTGCTGGCAGTCCGAAAACTACCTGCAGTTCCCTCACAACGTCACGCTCACACTGTCTCTCGGGAAGAAGTTCGAGGTGACCTACGTGAGCCTGCAGTTCTGCTCGCCACGGCCCGAGTCCATGGCCATCTACAAGTCCATGGACTATGGGCGCACGTGGGTGCCCTTCCAGTTCTACTCCACGCAGTGCCGCAAGATGTACAATCGGCCGCACCGCGCGCCCATCACCAAGCAGAATGAGCAGGAGGCCGTGTGCACTGACTCCCACACCGACATGCGTCCGCTCTCGGGCGGCCTCATCGCCTTCAGCACGCTGGACGGGCGGCCCTCTGCGCACGACTTCGACAACTCGCCAGTGCTGCAGGACTGGGTAACGGCCACCGACATCCGCGTGGCCTTCAGCCGCCTGCACACTTTCGGCGATGAGAACGAGGACGACTCGGAGCTGGCGCGCGACTCGTACTTCTACGCGGTGTCGGACCTGCAGGTGGGCGGCCGCTGCAAGTGCAACGGCCACGCAGCCCGCTGCGTGCGCGACCGCGACGACAGCCTGGTGTGTGACTGCAGACACAACACGGCCGGTCCGGAGTGCGACCGCTGCAAGCCGTTCCACTATGACCGGCCCTGGCAGCGCGCCACGGCCCGCGAAGCCAACGAGTGCGTGGGTGAGTGGGGCGCCGCAGAGACGCGGGCGGCGGGCGGGGACTCGGGCGGCGGCTCTCAGGCCTCGCAGCCACGGCTTCTTCGGAGCGCCGGCAGTTTCCGCACCTGCGGATCGCCCGCTGCGTGGAGGTCTTGGGAACCGTGGGAGGCGCGTTCCGGGATGCCCTGGATGGGGAGGGCGGGGAGTGGGTCCACTCGCTCGCGTGGCGCTCGCCTTGGATGCTCAGATTTGCGCCCAGTATGAGGTCTGCGAAGCCAAGAAACACGAGAAATGCTTCGGGGACAGGGTTTTGCAGAAAATTTGCGTACTGGTGCTTCCAACGCCAGATCCAAATGCAACCATTCATTTCCTTCCCCTCAGTTTGGCGGGACCTGGGATCCACCGCCTCACTCTCTCCTCCCCCCTTTCCTAGTGCTGCAGCTGGGCGCGTTGTTGGGGACCCCAGCCTGATTACCGGGAAGTTTCCGCTCCACAACCACAAATCTCTTGGGAGATGGCAGAGGGCTTTGCAATTGGGGGCCAGTTCGATACCCAACGAATATCGCTACATTTGTCTTAGGGTTTGGAAAACAATTTTGTTTTCCTTTGAATAGCAGCGTATTTGTGTTAGCAAAAGAGTGGTGTAATTTAAATTAATTAGTATCTACAGATTACACAAGCGAGTTCAGTAATTATTTTAAGCTAACTCAGTCCTGGTCCAAAAAAGTGTATCAGATTTTTTTGTTGATGTTAGCGTCAGTTTTTGGTGAAATTACACAGTTGTGCATTAACTAAGGGCCTAGCTTTTCACTTTTTAATGGGGTTTCAATTCCTGAAAGAGAAATCTGACAAAACCCGCCCAGGTGAATACTGATGGGTCAGAAGTGAGTGTTTAAAAAAAAAAAGAAAAACCTATTTCTGAATTGTACAACTTTGCTGCTGAAGAAACTCTCAGGCATCAGTTTCTCCCCAGCCAAAAAAAAAGTGTGTGTGTGTAGGGGGAAGGTAATAAGACAATACCTCACATTTCCAAATCCTCTATTTTATTTTAACGAAACTTATTTAGTCCATGAATGTATCATTCGGTGTGCATCCCTTGTGAACATACAGATTTTCCCTTTACCTCCCCCCGACCCCAAATGGCCAGTGTGAATCTCTTCAATGGCTTCAAGCGCTGAGGCTCATTGCTAAGCTTGCTGGTCCTCACAAACACACGTTTTGAGGTCTGGTTCTGATTAATAGTGTCATGTTGTCGAATACTTTGTGCCTCATGACTGTGGATGCAAACTTCTGAGCAAGTGAATGGAAAACATGTCTCGGGGAGCCAGGTGGCCATTGAGGCCCAGACCAGTCAGGCGTCCTGGTCTGCGGAGGGCTGTGCCTCCTGTTGCACTGGGCGGCCTCCATTTTTACACTCAGTGTGGTCTGCTTTTGCAGACCTAATTGTTCATCCCCCTCCTTTAAGGAGCAGAACTGTTTGCCAGTTTGAAGAGACTTTTCAGGATTCCGAAGCTAGATAGTAGTTACACCCCGATTTAGTGTTCTTTGAGAACAAAATTCCTTTGATCTGCCCAATTCCTTCAGAAATGTTAGTTTTTCCCATCTCTTTTCTTCCCTCCCTTTCCTCTTTTCTTCTCTTTCTTTTGTGCGTAAAATCCCTTTATTGGCACTTAAAGGGCCTCCCAGGGTTTTGCTATCAGTTTTAGTTTGTGTGTGCATATGAAAGATACCTTCTCATTGTCACCATTGGGGTTTCATTGGACAAATGCAAGTGAATGCGATGAGGAGAATAAACTGGGTGTTGTGTAACATTTTACTGCCTTGAAGATACCTCTTAGCGTTGGTATTGCTCAGATTCACCACCCACCCCCATCTTTCCCTGTCACATTGACTGTGGAGACGGAACCCAGATTTGTTGTAACAATGGTCATGCACTTGAAATAATCTCTATAGTTCAGGATTTTGTCTTTTGACCAAAGCACTAACACAAATTGGATTGAATGGGTTTTTTTAAAGCCAAGTTGAGCAATCAACATATTAACTAATGTAATTAGTAAGACGGATTTTGTTCAGGAAGTCTAATTAGGCCTAATAAGTACATAATCTACATGACAAATAATTGGCTAACAATATTTTCTGGTTTTTACTGAAGGTATTTTAATCCTCAGTAGTTAAAGTATCTTTACATTTTGCCACTTACTCAGTCATCCCATAAAAGCAAAGCCAATTCAACTATGTTAAAGTTATTTATAGTTTCCTTTTTGAATAGATGTTCTGATACCTTGTAGATACAGCCCCAGGAATGTCAGATTGAAGTTCCCATAAAGTCTTAATTGAAGCCTTAGTGATTTTTCCATCATTCCACAGAATAGAAAGCCAGCAAAGACAATTTAGAAGTGATTTACAATTAAAGGTCGAGCTTTTTATGAAAAGGCTATGTAGTGGAGATATGTGAAAGAATTAGTATTTGACAGGTGTTCTGAGACACTACAGGGCACTGTGCTTGGAAAATGCATTAATAAATCCTTCAAACACTAACTTTTGTACTATCAGCAGCTCAGATTTTCCCCCCAACATAATCCCATCTTGTGAATTTCACACTGTTGACATACAAAGTGAAGCTACCCAGATTATTTACAACTAAGGCAAAGTAAAGTAGCATAGTTTTTGTTCTAAAAAAATCAGTCTTGATAAAAAGTGAAGCATTATTACTGTGCTATTCTGTCTTTGCCTTTATAAACTAATAAAACACAATTTTTAATTGACTAAAGTGACATCTTTCCCTAGATTACCTTCCCCCACCCCAGGAAAAAAACCATTAGAACTTTAGTAAACACTTATGTTATTATTTGACTAAATGATTTTTCTACATAGGGCTGAAGTACTTTCAGATTATTAGAAATGCATATATCCCATAGGTTTTCTTCAGTGAAGCTTTCATTTTTGGTGTCATTTCAAGGTTGAGTTCTCTATGGAATAAAAGTGAACTTTTGTAAAGTCTAATTTTATTTTAAATGCAATTTTGTATTTCTTCTGGAAAAAAAACCCTCAAAAAATATGAAAGACAAGACTATGTATAATGTTACAGCCTTGACAGCCCTCGGGGGAATAACTAAATACTTTCTTCCGCCCATATGTATCAGCAGTGTTCACATGCTTTTATACACATGTGCATTTACATCCATCGTGTAAAGAAGCATCCATGCATGGTGGGGGTGTGTATACATTCAAGGGAAAATGCACGAACAGTTTTAAACCACCTGGATTGCTAGGTCCCACCCTCCACCCCCATTCCTTTTTTTCAAAAGAGCATCTGAAGACCATATTGTGTTTCGCAAGTTATTGACATCAGTTTTAATCAGTGTCCCCCTGACATCGGAGCTGTGTTAGTGTTTAGTGCCTGACGAAGCATGCTGTTTAATCTTACTGTGGGGATGTCAGCATGAACCCCTGCCTGGTTTGTGACAGGGTGAGCTTACGAAAACTCGTTTTGCGAACTCAGTCTATGGTTTTGCACTGCCCAGATGAAACCCAAAACCCACACAAAAGACTTCTCTGCAAGATGAGCACCGTGCTGGGCTGGCCTCCTATGGCCATAGGTACCTGCAACATAATGCTAGTAATTGTTTAAACATGGCTTTGGGATGAGGGTCCTCATGCTGTACATGGCTCTGGTGCTTGGGCCTATCATCATCCCCCACAGGAGAGGGAGGTTATATTGGAGGTGTTACCATTAAAAATCCAATGCCCCGCTAAAGACTCTTGCAAAATCAGAAGGCTAAAATTATTTGCTGCTTAGTCTGGAGTCTGGCACATAGCTGTAGCTCAGTGAATGTTTTTATAGTCTTAGTAATTATTATAATTATAGTCATTATGATGATTAACCCTTGAGGGCTTATGTTTTGCCAAACCCTCACATTAATTTAGTTATTTAATCATTGTGACTATGCTAATAATAGGCTGTATTATTGTCCTTATTTTACAGATGAGAAAACCATAACCTAGAGACACTAAATAGTTTACTCAAAGCCATATAGCTTAGTAGTGATAGAGCTTGGCCTCCAGCCTGATGTTTATGCTTGTTTTATTACACCCTCTGCTATTTCCCCATAGGATGGATGGATGGGTAAGTGAATGGCAGTTACATACTCATATATGGGAGAAAAGTGGGAATAACCTGTTGCTTCTCGCTTGAGTTGGAGGCAGTTCCCTAACCGTGTCATGTTGTATTATATTTATATTTGTTATATTCAGGCATACTTAAATACTGTATAAGAAAGTTGTTCTTTTTTTTAACCTGCAGGCCTAGTGGGAGTTGGGAGTTAGGAATATAAGTGAAGAAGGTTTAAGTATTGCCTTGTGGGTTCTCAACATCCACAAGTGTTGCTGATGGCCAAGTCTTTCTTAATTTCAGGGTCTATGATCTTTTCCAAACAGGGTGGAACAGACCTTATAATCACAGTCCTTTGTAATAGGCCTTCCCCTTTCTCCTTATTTCACAGTGTCCCATTGCTTCTCTGGAACATATTGAAAAAAAATCTAGAAAGTGGCTAAGAAGTGTTGCTAAAGAGAGGAGTTTAATGGCATATCCTGGTTGCTGGCATGGTGCTGGAAGGTGCAGCATGTGTGTGTCAGCTGCACAGGGCTGTCCTCTATTTCCATTTGTCCCATGGCAGCTGGAGTGAGGGTCTCTGCTGGGGTTCTCATTTGCACCGGGTAGGCAAGGAGGCTGCCCCCTACTCTGCCCAGAGAAGGAGACAGAGCTGTGGCAGGGTAAACCTTCTGGGTGGGTCTGTGCATTTCCAGGCTTTGCCAAGAAGCCTTTGGCCCTGCCCAGACTTCTCTCTGACCTCCTCCTCCTGTAGAAAAATGAGATCCTCGGAAAAGTATTTGAGACTTTATGTCCAGAGTAAATATTGGAAAGGCAGTGGGTTGAAATTCAGATGTTCCCTGGAAGGAATCCCCTCATTTTCTGCTCACAGCTGGTATCGATATTTCCTTCTTGAGATGAGTTGTGCTTTT